TCGTGTTGTACCATAGCGATGATTTCTTGAATAGAAGTACTATCTACTACGTCAATCCGTTTTAAGGACTTGGTCGGTGGATAATAAATGAAATATCGCATTTTTTGTCAAGTATCAACTGATTCACCCTAAAATGGTCAAACAAAGCAAACGCTTATTACATTCTTTCTAAATTTTGATATTGCTGTTCTTTACACAACACTAGACTATCTTGATACTCTCTTCTCACTATCGAATCCATATGGTCATTTAGAAATAAAACTGTTCGAATTTTTTTTGTAACTAGAAAACTACATTTCTTACAACTAACATCTAATACATGAAAGCAATATTCAGATTAATGTATTCATCCTGCTCATGATTGTAGCCGCGTTGTCATTGTTACATATAGTATGATTTATTCGTAGATGATGCTTACACATTGTTTTCTTTGCGTTGCCAAAAGCTTAAGTGCGTGATGAAGTAAAAACATTTATCCAAACAAGAAGATAACACTAGTAAAAAAAAACGTCATTGTAGATGAAGAAAGAGTTGCAGGTGAATGAAATTCATAATTACTTGCAACTTGAATAAGCATCCTTCAAGAGTTCTACTTGAGTGCTCATTTAAAAGCAACAGACTGATGATGTAACGAATAACGATTAAAAGTGAGAAAGTAAGAAAAAAAGAATAAAGAGAAAGTTGAAGTTATTAATTGATTTAAAAATCGACTAACATTCTTTTTTGTTTTCTTCCTGTCATGAGTATAATGAAATTTGAAACACATGCCATGGTATTGTAATGAGGAAAGTGATTTCGCATAAAAAACAGAAGGTTATGCTATCCAAGCAATTCTCATCGTCTTTGTTCGCACTGATGTTAATGAAAAAGAATGTGCATTCAATTCCATGTTTCATGAAGAGAGTTGATTATCATTTACGCGAAATTGTAGATCAAACATTTTGATAAATCAATCTTTAATAAGTTTATCAATTTATACTTCTGCTGCGTATGAACATCAGCAACATGATTAGTATCAGACCGAGACTTTATTCGCTGATTATCACTCAGTGAAAAATTTTATAGATTAAAACCAATTAATCGCTAAAAATTCTGTGAACATAATCGAAATTGATAATATAGTTTTTTCGTACCAAAATCAAAATTTTAATCAACGGTCATACCTACAATCACATCCATAGCTACTGCCATCCAGACCCGCAACCAGATCCATATCTGGTATATACTTCTGAATAATTGCTATCTCAATATAGAGACACTTGTGCATATAGATGTGCACCTCCTACGAACTGTGGCAACTGTCAGTCATGATAAGTCTTTGCTTATTTTACTTTTTCTCTCTTTCCTTGTCCATTAGTGTATGTTGCTTTAATCCTGCCTATTTTTTTTTCTCTAGCGAGTACTGTATTTTTCTATAGCTCTTCTCTTTTGCTTTTTGTCTTTCTTCTCTTACACTTTTATTACTATTTTTTCAAAAGCAACCTTCTCGATATGTTGACATATGTAAGAAGCAACCTTTTATTGTCAGAGGAGGTATTTGTTAGCTTGTTTTGCAAGAGAAATGTTGAAGTCAAGGAAACGCGCAAAAAAAACTACCATGCCCATGGCTCATTCGCTCAAACATGCATGCTCGCATATGACTGCATCGCCTCACAAACGAGTCTGTAAGTCCTAAAAAAAAGAAACAAAGACTCGGAAAACGGATCTGAAGTAAAAATAAAAATATCTGAGTGCGCTTGATATCCTGTCATCATGCCTGTACATCGGGTCCAAAGTTAGTAATCGTGCTGAAAACGGCGATATATGATGACTTGTTGGATGTAATCGATATTATTCAGAGACTTTTCAATTGCTACGAGTGAGATCCAACAAAATATTAACTGAAAATCTTTAGTGATCTTCAATCTAGAATACTGCTTTCCAGATATTGCTACAAAACTTCAACAAATGTTAAGATAATTATAAGTGACACAAATTCTCACTGTCTTGTGCCCCAGAAGTATAAGAAATAAATGAGAATACTAATCCATTTAAGTAAACTCAAAATCAGCCATTACTTAATTTCATATGAAAGACAATTAAAAAAATGAATACTATAATTGGGTGCCAATGTCTAGAATGTGCCTCTGCACTGCTACATGGAATGGGACTTCATGTTATGAAGTACAGTACATGCAGTGTATTTTCTTTTAGTATATAAGCAATCAATATTTTAAAGGGATTAATAATTTATTGAAGGAAGATACACATTGTTCCTTGAAAAGAAAAGAAAAAGAATTTGTTCGTCATTCACTATTATTACAAAACCAATTTCACATTTTTTACTTCTAACACAAATGTCAATTGACACACTTATTTGTTTCGCTACTCTATACTCTGTTGATTGATCGTTATAAAAATAGAATTTTATTTTTTCGCTTTCTATTCACAAGATAATAAAGAAAAAAAAAGTACATTTTTTTATTGTGACAAAAAAAATATCACCTAATTAACGTCAATCATTTGTTTTCTTAACATAATTCATTTTTAAGGATGAGGTTGAGGAATAAGGAAAATACAATTGCTTCATTTTATAATTTACAGCAAATAAATTTTTCATGATCATTCAAAAATTTATTTCAAACAATTGTGTTCAATTGAAAGAATTTCTCAATTAAAAAAAAGAAAAAAAATTAAACATCCCGTCTTCAAATAAAACGTATGAAATTCTCTACAAAATGATACTACCAATCGAAGACTCATAGTTTTTGGGATGTGCTCAATAACTTAGTTTTAAAATTTTCAATAACATACTTCACTCAATAATACGACTTATATCTAAACTATATTGTAAAACCAAAAATAATTGGAAGCGAATAACTAATATTAATTCATTTCTTTTGTTTTGTTTTATGTGCTGTTAGCTTTTGATATGGGTTAGAAGAGTTGACTTTGACAATCATTTTGACAAACGAAAAACAATTTACAAGAAATCGAACAGATCTCAGTCGAAGTGTTCATTCTTCAGATATATATTCATTCTTAAATAGATAAAAAATGATTCCTCTCGATTCGATACAATGCGAGTAATACTTTGTATTATCAATAAATATCATCCTAATTATTATGTTTGTCTCTAAGTAAAGAATAATACCTTCATTAATGACAAAATAAATTTCACTGTTTGCAACTACTATTAAATGACAGATATGTCCTTTTTTTGTTGTAATTTACAAATAAAACATCTATGATAATCGAATAAAATATTTGGCAATAGTTAACGAGACAAACAATGATTTTATTCCCTTCTCATTTTCATTTTATTGAATAACTAGCACCTACTAATTATTAATGATCTCATTCTAATATGTTCGGAAATGCCGTTTCTTTTTAATAATAATGAAATCTTGAAAAGCTATTTGTGAGAATAACTTATTCACAATCAAGTTTATATCACTGAATGTTATAGAAGGAGAAAATGAGTACTAAACTTATTTGAATACGTATAAAAAACAGAATGATAGATTTTCTACTTCACTTAACAAACAATGTAATCAGTTAAATTCTGTATAATGCTAAAAGATTCAAACACATTATCTAATCTTCGGATAAAACTGAAAAAACAAAATACAATTATAGAACATTATTTTTTTATTTATTTCCTACTAAATTAATCGACACAATTTCGACTTGTATGGCAATATTGAGACAAGACATTTGCTATAACGTTGTATTACTTTTCTTTGAGTTGGTGGTTATCCTTTTTATTTTAATCTTTTGACCTACAGCATGCATCGTTTTTATTAACCATTCAAACAATCTATACCATTTAAAGTCTACAATATACAGCTGTACATATTTCTGGTCTTGATGATAGTCATCTAGCAAACTCTGTCGATAGCATAATTATAAGCGGTCAGAGGAAAAAATTCTATTCAGTTGACAGCGTCACACGAGTTTTTCCATGATTAATTGCTTGAATAGGCATATCAGTAGATGTTTAGCACTCTTTATAACTTTGATTGGTCTGATGATAGTCTATTTATTTTGTTTAGTAATTTCCTTCCATTGATGCATGGCATATCAATACTCTTTGCTAGTCTGCAGATCCATTGGGCATAACTGTAGTGAAAAAAAAGAGGAAGTATTTTGAAAAAGTGTTCTGCCAACAGTGTCTTTTATAGTCTTCATTTATGAAAAGAAATGAGAAACAAAAAAGAAGACGTCTAATGCATATATCACATGGAATATAATTAACAAAGTATATTTACTTTGCTTTTATTGGATTTTTTTTATTTCTCTTACTGTTCGCTGTTTTTTCCATACTTTGTGGAAGTACGACAATTGGAGCGAGTGGTAGGTGTTATGTGTATAGATTAACACCGTCAAAAAATGCTACGCGTCTTACAAGACAGTTCATTCGTCTAGTTTTCCTATAATGCCCAAAGTCAATTATCTGTTGACATTTAACATATTAGCTGAGATATATCATATGAATTCTTTTCTTCAATTCAGATAGAAATATCATTAATATGACGATAAGAAATTCGAATTTCTTTTTATTAATTCTATTATTATTATCATTAATCAGTGCATTTAATCTACTCGGATCGACATCTAATGAGTTCTGTCGATTTTCACTGCCCGAGTTACAATGCAAAGTTGGTTAAATACGAAGAAAAATCTTCATTTGTTGTAAAATATAATTTTAGACTCAACTTGAAGTATTTGTCAATCGTCTCAATTCAACTGCATCTGTATTGTCATATGAATATTCTTAGTAAGTTAATATGTTACTTTTTTCTTTTATTTAATGCTCAAAAAATTTGTTTTCCTTTCTGCACTGTCAATAACGAATCATCACCAGTTGAAAATCTTGGTCAAATTCTCGTTGGTGAACGAATTCGACTCTATATTTCTATCAATCGAACTTCTTTTTCTAGTTTAATTTTCTTCAAAATTCTAACAGTCGTCATGTATGCACAAAGAAATTTACATCGACTGATGCTAATCAACAAATAATGCTTGAACGTTTAATGAAAGGAATGATTTTAAATTATCAACAACAATGGATACTTGATAATATACCTATTATGTTACGTTATAGAAATACTGAAAATCGAGAATTTAGTTCCCATAGTTTTCCTATTGGCTGTTATGTAACTAAAAGTGGTCAAACAAAAGAATCATGTAATATTCGTGATGGGCAAAATGATATATTTTATGTATTTAATCATTTGGATTTTGAAATAACTTATCATAATGAACTAGATAAAATATGGGAAAGTGCATTGAGTGAAGATAGTAGTCGAATTATTTCAGCGAAAATACAAGTTAATAGGTTTGTTGAATAAAATAATCATCTTATTTATTAATAATTTTTGTTTTAGTTTAAATTCAAATAGATGTGATCGTGCTAATGAACCAGTTATGTTTCAATCAACAAGCAAAGATGTTGAAATTCCATTTATATACACTACAATTTATAAAAAATGATGAAATACGTTGGACTAGTCGATGGGATTATATACTTAAAACATTGCTACAAGCACGTATTCAATGGTTTTCAATTCTAAATTCGCTTCTCATTGTATTATTTCTTTCGGGTTATGTTGCTATCATACTCTTACGTATATAATGTAAAGATAATCTTCGTTGTAATCAAATGATTGGTGCTGTAAGTTGAACAATTAAATCTCTCTCTATATATACTATTGTTTTATTTCTTCTATAGGGTACTGCAAAAGAAGAATTCGGGTAGAAACTGTAAGGATTCATCTAATTCATATCTTCATTTTGATTTTGCATCGCATACAAGTCACTTTTTCGGCAGTGTTGTTGAGATTTTGTACTGTCTGTGTAGAGAAATGTTCTGAATACAAAGACTCTTAGATGAGTTGTCTCCCAAACTTGCTGCCTTTTGGGTTAATACTTTACTTAACAATAGATAAAGAGCAATTTGTCTTTATAGTCTCTATTTAGACCACTTATCATATATTAGCTGGATTTCCGATCTTTAGCAAAGAACTTCTCACAAATAGAAAAAGACAGTCAAAGCTAACACTTAATCTTTACGCAGATCTCGTGGTTATTAAAATGTCTTAAGATCTTTTCAGCAAAATTATCTGATATTAAATGTATGTCACAAGTAAGTAAGAGAATCGAAGCATTATGTCATTGTATAGTCTAATGGTTTGTAGGTAGAGATCATCGAGTAAGATTCGATTCAAGAAACGTGGACTGACGAACTCTAATATCGACAATCTAAGGTGTGTTAGTCAGCGAATACAAATAGTAAAAGAATAATATCTGCATCTTCAAAGCTACTTTCTAAGTGCAATAAGAAAAATGACAGCAATTAATAAATATAATTTCGTTTTGAACTCTTTTTCTTCTTTGAATTTTCAAGAATCGCGAGTTTATAAATCGCTCTCACGCTAGAATTGTTCCCCGTTGTTTTTCCAGATTTTTGAGAATGATTGAATGTTGATCTATTTACCATCCAATCTAATATTATTTAGTTTTTATTTTCTTTTTTTTACTGATAGAATTGATGGTGATGTATTTCGGCCACCACAAAAAGTATGCTTTTGTCTATCCTTGTTGGTAGTGGTGTTCAAATTGCAATGACATTTCTGATTACATTAGGTAGATAGTTTTGCTTATTTTCAATTGTTCTCAATTTTTGTTTATTTAGTCTTCGCTTCGCTTGGTTTTCTCTCATCAGTCAAACCTAGTGCTCCACTGACTTGTAAGTATTTTATTCCATTCATTCTGTTCCTGTCTATTTTATTTGGTTCATTCAGGGCTAATATCATGTTATGTTCTTTTGGGCACTTCAGCTGGTTATACTTCAGCTCGTTTATATAAAAGTATGAGGCAATATTTATCAAACGTATGACTAATTGATTTTCCATAGTGTTTGGAGGTGAAAATTGACAGAAAATTGTTCTAACAATAGCTATTACATGTCCAAGGTAACATTTTAATCATTGATTTTTCTAAAAATAAATTACTTCATTCTTTATTTCAGCTTAAGGGTGTGAGTGTGATAGGAAAGATCCACAAAATCCACACCCACACCCAACATCACACCCCACAAGTTTGAAATGTTAAGAAATGGTGTCTGAGAAATCCGAGAAGGGTTTTTTTTCAATGTCATATTGAGGAAGATGCAATCTTTTCGCCTGTGTTGATTCTTTTTCTGTCGTTCAGTATTATTTTGTTCTTGTTCATGATGAAATTCTGTACTCTATATATCTATATGTATGTGTCTACTCGATCTGAGGAGAATGCTTGTCCATGGAACGAATAAACAGTGATGTTTATTTGTTAGAGTATCTAGAAATCCGACGGCAGATTTCGTACGTTTTTCCGGAATGGCACGGAAGATGGTTAGGTTTGCGGTGCGGTTCGTCACCGGCGTTTTTCATTGCATTGTGATGTACATTGACCTGAAGTTTCAATCATGGTTCAGGAATTTTCTTGTTTACCGCAGAATTGTCGCGAAAATGACCGAAAGAACCTTGTGGATTCAGGTTTTCCTATGTTGATTCATTAAAATCCAGGAGAAGACTCCTTGATTGAAAGTTTCCGAAGTTCTATCAAGTTCTGCTAACCTATGAGCTTTGATGTTTTTCCATGTATATTGTTTTCACCAGTTCCAAGCTTGATGAACCTTTCTCTATCGATGTATCTCCCGATCTGCGTTCACTTCCACAACTAACATAATCACTCGTGCTTTTCGGCTAGTTCAACCGCTTGTGAAACGCAACATCTGCTCATGCATAATTTCTAGAACCACTCTGGTCGCACTAGTAGTTTTGACTTTACTCACAAATAATTTTAAATATTGTGAAACGGTTATCACCAATCGATAGAGCTTGTTGAAATCCACTTGAGACAGTGATCAGCTAAAATGGAACACTAGCTGAACGAATTGATGCAAGAGTTAGTCGAAAGGGATGCTAAATTCACCTACGTAAACTACTTAGTTTTATTTTATTTTATTTTAATTTAATTTAACTTAATTTTTTTATTGTATTGTTTACCATTACTTTAAAGTCATTACCCAAAAGTTGAATACAATAAAATAAATTAGAATTAAACTGTTACTTTGCAGCTAATTGCACGAGATGAAGGAAGTAGGAGTAGATCGAGGATAAAGGTGGAAATCAAAAAATGTCTAATATTCATATACGAATTCAACACAATTTCTTCGAATCGCAGGTGTACTTGACATTCTTCAACTGTCGAAAATCGTCGGATCTGATGTTGGAGAACTTCTGATAGGAATCCAATACTTGGGAATCTGACGAACTCCTCTATTTTCCGACAACTTTGAATAGGATTCTGTCAGAAATGATCGGATTAATCTGAGAATCTTATGAGCTCCAACAGGATCCAAGTATAGGACTCTTCGTTCCAGATCTTCATATCTGATGTGTCGAAAAAGGTTTTAATTGTTATCTCAGATCATTTTTGACTGTGTCCTATCTAATTAGGCTATGAAGATTGAAGAAGAGTGTTAAGGTATATTCTAACTACATACACCTCAATTCTATCTATTCTCTCTTCTTTGATATTTTCGTTTCTATTATTTCGTTTCTGTTGCGTTTCTGTGTCCTTGTTTTCTCAAAGAATAAATAGAGAGAAGAAAATATATACAACTTTGACAGTTTTTGTCGCTCTTCGTGAGCGTTAACCCTAACAAAGAGGTTTCTAAAAATACAGATAAGATTTATATTCAGATGAGACTTCGAGTTTAGTAAAAACTATTATCCAATTCTTTGTATCATCACGGCTACCTATAATTACCTTGAAATTAAAACTGATTGCCATCACTATAACCATCATCTAACATATCAATAGGTACTAAAAATTTTAAGTACAAGACATTTTTATCTTCTCATTTGATTTTTGTTCTTGTTATCATGCTTGATTCAGGGGAAGTATTATTCGTTGAATTGATGTTTTTATTATGATAAAAGAGTCAAAAAAACGTTAGGTGTTGGATGATGTACTTTAGTAGATTATGAAGAATTGAATTTCAGATACAGCATGTTTAGTAAAAGATCTTCTTATGTACAAAACTGCACAGCTTAAAATGTTTTTTATTTGTGTTGCGAATCATTTGGTTGACCGTTGATTATTATTGGTTGTAGATGTAAACAATAGATGAGTCATTTGATTATATAATGATCTATTTATGAAAAATATCGATAGTTTCGTTCTTGAACATCAGAATTCGGCTTGCCTGCCATTGATTAGTAGTTGATCGTATTCGTATTCTGTTGTTCTCTTTTTTTCCTCTGTATCACTAGCTCCAGAAAAGCCATAAATCGAAACAGATCTATCAGTACTGTTTAATACGGGTTTTGCTATCTTCTTATTATCCCTTTACCTCTCAGCAATAAATCAGCAGAGCTGATGTTGAGCCTATTACAGAAATAGATCATGTGAGTACTCAATATGACAATCTTCTTCTAAAATTTAATTCAAGTTATTTTACTGTGGAGATACAAGAAGGGATTAAAATAAACGAATCGTCTTAAATGAAATGAAATTGAACTTTTTTCTAATCTGATTTCTTAGTTTTTTTTAGAGTTACGAAATTATTTATCTATATAAAGCTAGATGTGCCTTACTATAGTTTGATCAACTAAAAGCTCGAGTAAAAAACTTGATTTTTTCCTGTATCTGCAGAAAAAACAGTTTTGAATCAAACTTTAACATCACAGTAATATAGTTACTATCATATTATAGGCTACAATTCCAAGCTAAGATTTGTTTTCTTTCCTACAGATACAGAAAAAAATCAAGCGTTTTATTCAGACTTTTAATCGACCGCACTACACTATGGGTTGTTTTCAGAAAAAGAATTATTTTCCAAAAGAATACATGATAACTGTAATATCACTAAAACCAAACTTTGCAATGCAAAGATATGAAAGAAATCAATTTCTAGCGGGTCATACGTGTGTCTTTTAGTTAAAATAATCACGTATTACATCATGGCATCAATGTACTAGACGTTTAGAATAGTATGCATATGTCTTCATGGAGCAACTTCCACTATTAATTCGAAAATGTAAACTTCGTTGAGCTTGTGATCGATGTGCTAAATCATCAAAACGAGACATACTTGAAAAACTATAGACAACTTTTATGCTTTTTGGTGGATCAAGATCATTTTTGTCATTGCCTGATTCCGATGATGAATAATGTGTAGCTAATACTTTTAAAATTTGACGTTCAGTTGTTCTTGATTCCTGCAACATTACATTTGCTATTAGATAAATCTGTACGATCTCTATTACATTTCATGTAGCCTTTCCTTCATCCTATAATTAATTATTAATTATTAAAAAATTCCATGGATATTCAGACAATGATATTTATACTAAGACTGGGACTGAACCCGAGTCTTGATCATTGATTGGAATCGGACCATGAGTACGAATTCATCTTGGCAACATCATGAGAAACGACTGTTC